GAGCCCAAGAGTTTGAGGCTAACCTAAGCAACATAGCTAGACCCTAGCTCAAAAAGGATGAGTGTAGATTGTAACAGTCTGTGAGTGTTTTAGTGTGAACCTAACATCACATTAGGTAGCTGATCTAATTTTCCATTTTCTGCTAAGCCCTTCTTGGTAGATGCAAAATCCTAAGTGATAGTCATCATTATTCTTTTCACTTCCTACACAAAGTCAAGTAATAAAAATTACATTGTGGTTAATGTCCTGGTAAATATGTGACCAGCAGTACTTAAAAAAACAATCTCAAGCCGGGCATTGGTGGTTCAAGTAAGCATCATGCCCACCTTTGGTCCTTGGCCCCACCCAGACCCGAGCTTCTCCCAGCTCTGGAGTTCCTGCCATACAGCTGACTACTCCCTCTCTCTGCCCATACCACCTGAGCTCCCATCTACCTCACTTCCCACCCTCAGACCCTGCTGCTACCTGGACAGTGGAGGCTGCCATGTGCTCCCTTTCTGGGGGAAATTTGGCTCCTCTAATAAACCTTGTAATAATCTTTCTCCTGTGCCTGCCTGCCTCTGCACGGTCCCCTGAGATGGATGTAATGGATCCTTTCAGTTCACACCTGTCATCCTAGCTACTCAGGAGGCTGAGATCTGAGGACCACAGTTCAAACCAGCCCAGGCAGGAAAGTCTGTGGGACTCTTATCTCCAATTAACCACCAGAAAACCAGAAGTGGCACTGTGGCTCAAAGTGGTAGAGACCTAGCCTTGAGCAAAAGAGAGCTTAGAGAAGCACCCAGGCTCAGTTCAAGCCCCCTGACCAACAAAAAAGGAAGGGAGGGAGGGAGGGAGGAAAAGAAAGAATGAATGAAAGAGAGAGAGAGAAAGGAAGAAAGAAAGAGGGGGGAGGGAGGGAAGAAAGGAAGAAAGAAAGAAAGAAAGAAAGAAAGAAAGAAAGAAAGAAAGAAAGAAAGAAAGAAAGAAAGGAAGGAAGGAAGAAAGGAAGAAAGAAGGAAAGATTTCTCACATCCATGCTCCAGTCCTAAGGCTTGAACTCAGGGCCTGAGCTCTTCAGCTCTAGGCTAGCATTCTACCACTTGAGCCCCAGCTCCACTTCTGGCTTTTGGGTAGTTTAATGGAGATAAGGGTCTCACAGACTTTCCTGCCCAGTCTGGCTTCAAACTACAATCTACAGATCTCAGCCTCCTGAGTAGCTAAGATAACTGGCATGAGCCACAGATACCAGGCTCTCCCTTAAGATTGCAAGACATTATGTTACCAGCATTCCCACATAAATGGGGCAAGTATTCACAATAGAGCTCTTCCCAGCAAAGTAGGAAGGGGTATGGCTGATTCAATTAGGGTCCATCTCCCTTTCAATTCAGGGGAGCCTGAATCTTAGCCTAGCTTTATGGTGTTATGCAATTGCTCTTTTTAAGGGGTATAGGAAATGGAAACCTTGGCTATTCATAGTCAATTTAGGAGGAGCTGAAATTATTCAAGAAGTTTCTTGCCTGGTGCCATTTTGATGGTAACTAGGTTTCAGAACAAATTCACTTAATCTGGCTTTCAAATGGAGGCTATTTTAAAGAGCTGTCTCCTGCCTTTGGTTCCCACCTTCTGTAGTGACTGTATTTTAGAAATAGCCCAGTATTCCTCGTCTATAGCCTGAATATTCTTCAGGATTGTTTTGTTTTTGTTTTATTGCCGGTAAGAGATGCTTTTGTGGAAATTGGAGGTGGAGTGGGGAGGGGGGATTCTGTCGGAGGGGTCTTATGTGGTGTTAACCTCTGATGAAGCAGATCTCAGGCACAGGGCTGCTAATGGATGTCTGCATTGCAAAGGGCTGGCGAGAAGCCGAGCTGGCATTAGAGCCCCACAAATGACATCTTCCACAGGGCTGGGGCGGGAGGAGGCTGCTGGAGGTGCAGGCTGAGGCTGCCCCTGAGGCCGCAGCTTCTTACACCGTGGGGTGGGGGGCATTTCCGTGGTTTCTGAAGCTGATCACTGGCAGCAAAAGCACACTGATTCCATCTGTGATGTTCTCTGAAAAGGGGTCTCTCTCTTCGTCTCTCCCAAAGGCCGGAAGCATAGAAACTACAAACTCATTCACACTCGTGAATTCAGCTTGTGGTGTGCTCCCTGTCTCTGTGTCTTTCCCCCAGCCCAAATTTGTTGCCACCAAATAATAATTATATATATACATATGTGTGCGCATATATATATATATATATATATACCCAAACCCAATATGTATTGATGGCAGATACAGATTATAAAACAGATCAATACATACTGAATCAACTATATTAGTTTAGCTTACTTTCTCCCAGGTGGTCATTTTTAAACTTCTCAAAATTAACACTAATGGATAAAGAGGAATAAGGATATAAATGTGAATGCCTTTTGATGTGCAGACCAAACTCAAACCTCTGGGGGGTGCAATTTTTCTTTATCATTCTCAGCTATTGGAGAGGGTCCAGTCATTCCCCACCCCACCTTGAATGTTGCCTCTGGTGGCCCCCTGGTAGAGTGGGGGGGCGGAGGGAGGTGTTCTGGTAGCTGAACAGATTTGACTTTACAAATGAAAACAGGAGCGAATACATTTTGTGAAGAGCAGGCTTGTTTAATTGGCTTTGGGGAGCCAGGATCACTCTTACAAGCTGGGGAGTTGTGATGTACCTGTGTCACTGGCTTGCCACACTGCCTGCCTCCTGGGGGAAAGTGAAGCAATTTTATTCCTGCCTCAGCTTCACAACCAAGTAATTTCCAGCTTGCCTGTACCAAGTGCCCAGGCCTGAGCTAGAGTCATGTGTCACGTGTGATGTCAGAGATGCCAGCCCAAGGTTATATCTAAACCACTCTCCTCCCGCCCTCCCCCCCCTTCATTTGTGCAGGGGGAGGATTTGCCCTCCCCTTGTCTCTGTTCTGCCTCTCAAGGTAAATCTGCGTGGAAATGGCATGGTTTTCAGGACCAGTCACCTGACCCTTGATCTCCTGAAGTGAAAGTGTCCTACTGTGGAGAGTGACCCACAAAAGCCATTGTCACCCCCACCCCCACCGCAAATCAGAATCAAGGCCTTAATTAGAAGTTTCTCCTGTTAATGTAAGGAGGTGAATCAAGTCAGCAAAGGCGCTTAGCATGGACCAAGGAGAGCAGCATCCTGGTCCCGCTGAGAGGGTGATATGGGCTCTGAAAATGCTCGCTTGCCTTAGATGGACGGAGCTTGAAGAAAGTGCACAGAGCCTGTACTTATGTTGTTCCTGTTTAGAAATAAGTGCGGCTGGTGAAAAAGCTCAGCGTCAACTATGACATTTTATTAGGCTCCTGAGCCAACTTTTGTTTAATATCTACCTTTGGGCTGAGAATATTCAACTCTACAAATGATCTTTGGGAAAGCAAGCAAATGCAGGAAATCAGAGCCACGAGCCCCTTGCTATCACCGGGTCACAGTCGCCTTTAATCCTCCAAGCTCCCAGAGCTGTACCCAGCCACCTGCTGCCATCTTCCTTATTTACCCAAATCTTGTCTACTGGGACAGAAAGCCCCACCGAGAGGACAATTGTGGCCCCAGTGTGCTGATGATTGAAAGTGCCCTGGGTCTGAGGATTACTTAGTAATTCACCCAAAGGGTTTGAGACTTAAGGAAATTTTGAAAAAAACATAAATGCCAAACCACAGCCTTCCAGATTCTGCCCTGACATTAATCTGTCTTAGCAGGGAATTGAATGATTTGATAGTCTTTTAAGACTTAAGTGTCACATTTCAGTGAGAAATTTTTATATCAGACAAAACTTCCCTGGTCAGGCTGCTTTGACTGGGCAAAGATGCATGCCAAAAGATTCTCTTTAAAATATAGGCATGGCTCAAGGGATAGAATGCCAGGGGACAGAGATTCTAAAAGGCTTCAGCTATTTATTTAAAAAAAAAAAAAAAGCTAAGATTAACTCCTTAAAAACAACAGCAACAACAAATGATTCCACCCTAAATTGAGTACCTGGACCAGCAGCATTGATCTTTTTGCGGGGCATTGCCAGAAAGGATAGGTCTGTCACATCTATAATGTTAGCTACACAGGAGGCTGAGATCTGAACATCATGGTTCAAAGCCAGTCTAGGCAAAAAAAAAAAAAAAAAGTCTTGGAGACTCTTATCCCCAACCAACCAGCAGAAAGCTAGAATTAGTAAAATGCCAGTCACAAAAGTGAGAAAGCCCCAGTTCCAGCCCAAAAAAGCAGGGGGAGGGGGAATGTTAATTTAGAAATATCAAAATAGAAATGTCTGAAATGAACTTGGTTTACCCTATAGTAATAAAATAATTTATTTAACTAACCAAATCTCCCACCTCAAAAAAAAATTAAAAAAAAAAAACACTTCCTACTCTCAAGCCATGCAGAAGGACGCTAAGTTCCCCACTGGCCAATGCTGGATAATTCTCTTAAATGATTCAGATATAAGAGGGAAAATGGCATCTGTCTAATTAACACTGCCTGGTTAAATATAGCTGCCAAGGCACAGCCTGGGGACAGTGTTTACAGAGCAGCCTTCAGCCCCTCTGGCCTCGCGTTCCAATTGATAGCAAGCCTACGGTGCTTATCAGCTGGAAACAGAGAGGACCCAGAAGTGGGGACTGGCCAGGGCAGGCCAGGGAGCTGGATGGGGAGGAGAAAGGCTGAAGCCAGCTGAATTTCTTGCTCCCTGTTTCTGGGGATTCAAAACAAAAACGATCCTGGGCAGCAGATCCCAAAGGTTCTAGTAGCTGTTGCTTTAAAAAGCAACAACAACAACAACAATAACACAAAGAAAAGAATAAAAAAGAACCACAGAAATAAGTTCCCATCCTGCACACAGCGCAGACCTCGCTGTTCCCTGAGCCTTGCAGTCAGGCCTGCAGACATTCACTGTCAACAGCTCTCCTGCCTACTGCAGAGACTGCTAGGCATTGCCATCTGCTCTGCAGTCCTGGGGTCCTTCCCTGGCAGAAAGACACAATGACCACGTCATTTCTCTTCCAGCTCCACCTCACGACATGGAAGCTGTCGCCAAGTTTGATTTCATGGCCTCAGGCGAGGACGAACTGAGCTTTCATACTGGAGACGTCCTGAAGGTAGGCAAGGTGTTGGGGAGTTGAGGTCTTGGGGGAGGTGGGGAGGGGGGGGGTGTGTCTGGCCACTGTCACCTGACCATCCTTACCAAGAACTGAACAGTTTGTTATGAAAAATAGTTCATTTCTTTCTAGAAAGTTCCTTCTAGGTACCCATGTGCCAGACACCAGGCTGCACTATGGAAACAGAGTTTCCTAAGTCATTATCCTTGTCCTGAGAGGGGAAAAAAAAAAAACACAAGAAAGAGCTGGGCCTGGCACAGATGGGCTCACGCAGATGCTCTGGCTGGGGTGTCAGAGAGCTCAGGTGAGGGGACACATGGCTCTACCATGAAAGATGGGGGCTTGGAGGAGCGGTGGCATGGGTGTCCAGAAGCACAGAGTCTGGGTCTCAGTGAAGTACCAAGTCACGCTGGATGCAGGGAAATGGTCAGGGGCAAGAGGGGGTGGATAGGGAGCCCGGGGTTTGACTAAACAAAGGTCCTGCACTGGGGCTGCTCAGAGCCTCCTTAAAACTTGCCTTCAGCCTGCCCTTGAGTTGTAGTGGCCACTTGCAGAACTCAAGTGGCCTTGGACTTCCACCTTGCAGGCTCCCACTGACAGATTCGGCAAGTTAGCCCTTGCTTTTTTGCAAACGAACATAAGCCCTTCCAGAGCCCATCTGGAGTATAGGTAACACTAATGACCACTGCCCCAGGGGGAGGGGCTCTGAGCATCTTCCTGGAGCCTGGCCCTGTCTCCAGCGGCCTGGGCTGTAGGTCATCTCCACCTCCCTCACTGAATCCTGGTGTCAGGACACTGAGCTGACACTCACTGAGTTCCTATTTAGGGTCAGACCTGGCTCAATGGCTTGGGGGCATTCCTTCATCTCAGCAAGCCTAGAGACTGCTTTCTCCCCCATCAACAAGTCTTCAAGTGAGTAAAACTACACAAGACCAGGCTCATACCAGTAGACGCTAACCAAGCCAGGTCCAGTGTGAACTCTCTCTCTCTCTCTCTCTCTTAACATGGACATGTGTCCTTCATATCTCTCACTAGAAAGGAGCAGGAGCAGTATACAAGAATAAAACAAACCTTGAATCCACATAGCTGTGGGTCAGCCTCCCACCCTACTAGCTGTGTGGTCTTGGGCCTAGTTGCCTGCCCTCTCTGAGCTTCAGTGCTTTCCTCTATCTATCCCTCGGGGTCCAGGAAAGGATTAGGGGTAATTGTCCTGGCCAAAAGCAGTTTCTCAATGAATGGTGACTGTATTAACAGTATCCATTTCTGCTGTCCCTACCTGTTTAGATGATTTCCACCACCCCTCGACTAACTTCATTGCCTCCTGCCTCTCCCTCCTTCAGGCATTCTGCATACTGGTCCCAGGAGGCTTTTTATAGAAGGCAAACCAGATCATATTGTCTACTCAAAATCTAAACCATCCGGTTCCACCATACCATCTGATCTCATGCTGTACACACACACAGACACACACACACACAGACACTCATAGACACACACACACACACACACACACACACACACTGTTAATTTGTTTATTTATTTTTGTTGGTCACTGGGCTTGAACTCTGGGCCTGGGGCACTGTCCCTGAGCTTTTTTTGCTCAAGGCTAGCACTCTACCACTTTGAGCCACAGCTACTTCCCATTTTCTGGTGGTTAGTTGGAGATAAAAGACTCTAAGAAGGACTGAGAATGTGACCTAGTTGGTAGAGTGCTTGCCTAACATGCATGAAGCCCTGGGTTCGATTCCTCAGTACCATATACACCAAAAAAGCCAGAAGTGGTGCTGTGGCTCATGGTAGAGTGCTAGCTTTGAGCTGAAGAGCTGAGGGACAGCGCCCAGGCCCAGAGCAAGCCCTACAACTGACAAAAAAAAAAAGTCTTGCCGGGCGCCAGTGGCTCACGCCTGTAATCCTAGCTCCTCAGGAGGCTGAGATCTGAGGATCGTGGTTCCAAGCCAGCCCGGGCAGGAAAGTCTGTGAAACTCTTATCTCCAATAAACCCACTCAAAAACCGGAAGTGGCGCTGTAGCTCAAGTGGTAGAGCACTCGCCTTGAGCTGAAGAGCGCAGGGACAGCACCCAAGCATAGAGTTCAAGCTCCACGACCAACAAAAAACAAAAAACCAAACAAAAAAAGTCTCAAGGACTTTCCTACTGGGCTGGCTTTGAACCACGATCCTCAGATGTCAGCCTCCTGAGTAGCTAGGATGACAGGTATCACACACACACACACACACACACACATCTTTGTGCACATACTGCCCCCAGGTTCCACTGCAACACACACATACACTGCCCTAGCTCAGACCCCAAGCTATGTGTCCTCTTGCCCACTGTGCACACATACTGGACCGGCTCTGCTAGGCACTCCTCCCTCTTCAGCTCTTCCCTGGCATTCATATACTTCATTCTGGGACATGTTTACCTTGCTTCGCATGGCAGCTGTTTATAGATAGGCTGTATAGGGCCCACACTACTGCACCCTGGTTCTATAGTATCTGTCTGTGGGAACGTGCAGGTGTATAAGTGAGGTACTGGAGATTCTCACATCCAGGGCCTTTCCTTGTTCAAAAGCACTCTACCACTTGAGCTACAACCCCATCCCTTTGGGGGGTTAGTTATTTTAGGTAGTAGGGTCTTGCCCATGGCTGGCCTGAACTCTTTTGATCCTCCTACCTATGCCTTCCAGAAGCTGGGATCATAGATGGGAACTACCATGCCCACCTTACTGGTTGATAGGGGGTTCTCGCTAAGTTTTTCCCTATGCTGACTAGAATTGCAATCCCCCTGCTCTCAGCTTCCAGAGGTGCTGGCATGAATGACAGATGTGAGCTACCATACCCAGCCCTTGTGCTTGGGATTAATTACACATTTCCATGTTGCTACCCTACTGGCCGAAGCTCTTTAAGGGCAGGACCGTCGCTACCTCAAGTGTTTCCAAAAGCACGAGGTTGGTCCTCCAGAGTGTTTGCGAAGTAAATGAGTGGCAAATTCTTTCACAAGAAATACTACCATGCGAGGATCATCTTTGTGTCTTCCTAAAATTCAACACAAGTCACAGCCTTAACTAGATGCCCAGTATCTACCTCTTTTTTATTCAGTATCAACTTCTTAAATCACCAAATCATGTTTCCACATGCTTATTTAGAATTCTTTTTTGTTTGTTTGTTTTGTCAGTCATGAGACTTGAACTCTGGGGCCTGGGTGCTATCCCTGAGCTCTTCAGCTCAAGGCAAGCACTCTACCGCTTGAGCTACAGCGCCACTTCCGGTTTTCTGGTGGTTTATTGGAGATAAGAGTCTCATGGACTTTCCTGCCTGGGCTGGCTTTGAACAGTGATCCTTACATCTCAGGCTCCTGCGGAGCTAGGATTACAGGTGTGAGCCACTGGCAACAGGCCTTATTTAGAATTCTATCGGACCAACTCTCTCTCTCTTTTCAAATTCTGCCCATTGCTGCTGAGAGCACCCGCAGGGAACCCACAGGACTGCTTAGCCTTAGCACCATGTCTTGGCTCTCATGTGTCATCTTAGCGGGGGTCTATCTCAGCCTGAAGTGGGAACCACCCCACCCTTACATTCACTTTAAAGCCGGCACTTGGTGGCTATCCCAACAATTCACTTTGTGGTCCTCTTGGCTCTTTCCTGGCCTTCAGTGCTAGAGACGAAACAGAACTTTCCATTAAACAGGAACAAAGAAGAATCTTCAGTCACCAACCACCCTCAGACTGTGAGTTCCCCTAGGGGAAAGGCTCTACTTATCTCTGTATTCCAAGCAGCTAATTGCAAACAGCAGGTGCTTACTACATGTTGATTTGACCCGGCTAGTAAACAAGATTGTAGGCAAGAACCCTCTGCCGAATGACTTGATCTCTGTTCTCCCAGGAGAGAATATTCAGAAGGCACGTGCGCACGTCACACCTCAGACCTGTAGCTACCCACATCATCGGAATTATGTTGGAATTTGCCGGGAGCTTTGAAAAATGTCTCTTGACCCAGTCATTTCTACCTGCGTCTGTAATGTGTCCAACTCAACCCCATTTCTTTCTCCTAAAAGGGTGACCTGAAAGCACTGAGTTAATCCCACATAATTACCTTCCTTGGTGCTTCAGCTTTCTACTCTGCCTCTAAGAGCTGTAATTCCATCCAATTTTACTTTTTTTCTCCAGCTGTACTTTTGGTCTTTCTCTTCCCACGTCCAACTTATTCTCAGTCCATGTAACCCAGAAAATTATTCTCCTAGGGAACATTTTAAGAAGTAAGGTACAGCAATTTCAGTGTAAAATTCGGTGTGTTTAGGCTGAACACTTTGCTCAGGTTTATTTGATGGGTACAAGAGATAGGGGGAACCAAATTGATGGAGAGATGAGAAGAGGAAGTTATAGGTTCTGAGCCTGCAACAGCAGGAGGAAACTGTCCCCTCCTCCTGCCAAGTACTGTTTTTTCTTTTTGCAGAAAATGAGATTTTTTTTTTAAGACCTTGTCTTCTCTCTACCATAAAAAGCCTGTAAATTCAGCCTCCGGCAGGCCAGGCACCAAGCGGTAGAGACAAATGGCCAGCATTGTGGGGATAATGTTTCATTTTCTGCAGGAGGTGGTTAGGTAGATATGAGACATGGTTACTAAGATCATGGCTTGATTCAGGCCAGAGAACCAGGTGCCAAATGTGGCTCCAACCTTGATAAACTAGTTTCCAAAAGACCTTTCCCCTTTGAATCTTCTCCTCGGGCAAACATCATGTCTCAGTGTGATTCCAAAGCTGAAAATCCAGAAGCAGCAACATGGAGGAAAATGAGCAGGATATCTTCCAAGTGGATAGAAGGCACTGATGCTCAGTTTTGTAGTTCTTCCCCTGACCTAGATTTTGGGCTCTCTCTTCAGCAACCCCCGCCCCCTCCAACATCCACATGCACACACACAGCTTGAGTGATACCAACAGTCACATCTGATGTTAGTGATTGTATCGTTCTCTCTTCTCAGCAATTCTCAAACTCAAATATGGGACATGCTTTTATTTCTTCAGAACAAGTGATTATACTCCAAACACACACACATAGAATGCTTTACAGAACCTAGAAGCCCTTCCACACCCTCCAGAGCTGGAGGCCTTCCTGTAAGGACATCACATTGGGCAGAATTATATTTGACAACAGCATACACTTGCAGCTGCCAGGGCTCATTTGATCTCGCCTTGGCGCTGAGGCGCAGGGGGTTATTATTATCCCCAGTTTTTAGATGGTTAATTGACTTGCCCAGCGTCGCTTAGCTAGTGACAGAGACGAGCTAGAAAGCAGGTCTTCTCGTTCCACATGCCTGGCGTTCTCCCTTTTCTCCCATCCCCGGAGTGATGGTAGAAATAGGTCACCATCGCATCTCCAGCAGGTTGCTCTCTACAGTTCCTGTTCCTCTTCCCAAACTTTGTGTTTCTGGGAGAGAGAAACCCCTGACTTCAACCCCACCCACTGTGGATGAAACCCAAACCCCAGTGCCCAGCCCACTGGTCCTGAGTCCAGCACACACATCAGCTGCTCGCTGAGCTTTATATCTCAGTTGAAAAATTCAACTCAAATTCACCCGCGTACAATCTGAGCCTTTCCTGCTCCTCCTCCTCCTCCTTTCTATTCCAGTGAAGCCATCTTCACCCACTCAGTCTCCCAGGCTAGAAACCCAGTATCTCCCAGAATCCCCTTCTTCCTCAGAGCCCCCAAATGGCTACAGAATCCTGTCTGTCTTGTCTCTTCCATTCCTCTAAAATACATCCTCTACTCTTCTTAGCCTGGGGGAGCTACACTCATCTTCCTCCTGACCCCGCTCTGATTCTACCCTGCCCCATGTTTATCTTCATGCTCCAATTCGGATCCCCTTAATTCCTATTTTGACTGTTAGTTCTCTCCTTTTGTGGCTCTTCACAAACTTCCAGATAAAATCCAACCTCTTTGACATGAGCGAGGCTGTGTGCTCCTGGCTTTCCTCTAAGAATTCATCATCTAAGCCCCAGCCATACTGAGGCACTCAGCTCCCAGAATGCACCACACTTCTCATACCCTAGATGTGGTTCTGACTCTGCCACCTAACTGACTTTTCTCATTGCTTGGACAGCTAGCCTCTCCCAGGCATCCTTCCTGCCCATTTCCCACCTTCCCCTCCTCTCCAAGTACTGCCATCTATGAAGACATTTTCAGCTACAAGAAATGGAAACTAAATATGGCTTAGGCAATAATGAGTTATTATTTCTCAAAAGCTACAAGTGGGAGGATTGTCATGCGATTACTTCATCGGGGTCCTTTCCATCTCTTGCTCTGCCATCCTCATTTAGAATTGTTCAGAAACATTCCTGGTGGGGGTGGCAAATACTTAGCAGCGAATCTCATTATCTGAAATAACAAGGAGCAGTTGAGAGCCAGGGTTGGTGGATAATGAGGAACCAAGACAGGTGACAACACAGGAGGTAATGTTGTACGGCAAGAAAACAGAGAAGCCATATTTTGAGAGGTAGAATGGAGAGTCTTTATTAAAAGGCCGGTGTCTGCAAATGGACTCTTGTCCCAAAGATCTGCAGCCTCGAGAGTACACTTAAGCCTGTCAGAAAACTGAACCATGAGAGCTGGAGAGGAAAGAAAAAGCAGACCAACAATACCAACAAACCAGATCAGCTCCAATGGAGAGCTGAAGTGGAACGCCACGGTGACCAGAGAAAAGACAGGAGACAGGACATGCACACGGAGACATGTGGCATGACGTAATGGTGCCTGCGTTGGCCCAGGCCTAAATAGGGTCAGGTCAGGGGGCGGGATCACAGGGAGCTTGAGCGTTCATGCCCAAGACTGGCACTGTAACCTATTATCCAAGTCCCCGCCCCTGCCTCTAGAAATTCAGGCATGCCCATCACCTGGAAGGTGGGACTTCCCTGCCTCCACCAGGAAAACAAGATGGTGTCAGTCAAACCTAATACCCTATCATCCACCATGTGGCCAAGATGGCTCCAGTTACATTCAGCATCCCTACTTCATTTGGGGATTCAACCCCTCAAAATAGCTTCTCTGTTTTCTCACCATACAACAATGTCAGCCACCACAGGACCTTGTAACAAGATGGAACTTTTGGGTTTTCTTGTGAGCTGACTTTTTCAGCAAGCAAGTCGTCCCAACTATTTGTAAAACAATCAACATGAATATAGAGAGTCTCTATTTTCAAAGCTGGTCCCAGTTAGACCTGTAAGTTTTAATCCTCTTTTTTCTTTTTGTTTTCCTGGTTACCTAGGAAAGAAGGAAAAGCCACAGAGTAGGTGTTACCACCTCCTACCATCTGGCCAGATGAGGAGCTGAAGGTGCTGAGATCTGGGAATTTCCATCGTAGAAGGAGAGAGAGGAGGATAGAAATCGCTCAGTGCTGGGTCAGGAGGCCACACTATAAGGAGGTGGCATAGATAGGTGGTACAAGTGGACAGAAATTACTAGCGGTTGAGAGAAGCCAAACCCCAAAGACGGAGCAGCTGTGCTCCCTCCTCCTGCTGGGGGAACTTGCAGAGCCACTCTCTAGTTCCTTGGGCTTATTTTCCTCTTGCCTTGTGATAGTCTCCCTGCAGAATCCTCGTCCTGTTTTCTCCCATGTAGATCTTAAGCAACCAGGAGGAGTGGTTCAAGGCGGAGCTTGGGAGCCAAGAGGGATACGTGCCCAAGAATTTTATAGACATCCAGTTTCCTGAGTAAGTATTTCCAGCCTGCTGAGATGGGCCTACCCACACACGTTCTTACTTTTTTCAGTCGTCTCTAAAATTATCCATGCATATCCAAGAAACTGTCAGAAGTGGCTGCCTCTAGAGATCTTCCTTCAGAGCCTCCCGAGCCACACAGTGGAAGGCCAGGGGTGGGAGGAAGATTTGCATTTCATTTCATTCCCTTTTGAAGTCTACACCATGTGCTTGGATCGCCTGCTTTAAGATTTTTTTTTAAATATATATAAAAGGAATTTTACATTAAAATCACCTGTAATGATTGCACTAGCAGTTTCCAAAATATCCACAGGGGGCGCTGTTCACCTCCCCTGCTGCAAATGCAAGGCACTTCTCCATTTACCTCCCAAGCTCACTTTCCACCCTCTGGAGGGAGCCCAAACAGCCTGGCCCTTAATGGGGGGTTGGGGGGGGGGCGGCGGGTACATGGATACCCCTGCCTTCCTTAAAGCCTGTACTCCCCCTCAGAGCAGTGGGTAGGGAAAGGGGGAAATTCCTTCCAGAAAGAGGAAGTGAAACGCTGAGATTATGCCCTGTTAGTATCAAGAATGGACCACAAAGGTTAGATAGAAATCTAATCTTGTCTCAGAGCCAAAGTCTAACCCCAAGAGCACAGGTTTGTCAGAAAACCAGAGTGGTATTGATGATTTGTGCCGTGTGGCTGCAACACTTTCAGTGGCCCACTACTGACCACTGAACCAGAAGAACAATCCCTGAGCACGCCTGCACCTGCCCTGTCCGATACTCCACTGTCCCGCCACCTGCTGGGGGCTGCTTTGTACTTCCCTGCTCCTCCGCCTTCCAGCCCCCTCCTCATCTCAGGTATGCAAGGACAAAGAAGCCACCTGAGAGAAGCTCCCGATTCCCTCCCTTTGTCCCCACACCTCCCCCTCCTACAACCCCACTCAGACACTCTGCCTTCCTACAGCTGTCAGGAAGGAACTGTGGGTGCTTCTAACAGAAATCCCCACCCCCTTTCTCCCACATCAACTTTCCGTCCCCCTCTGCTGGAACACTTCTGTCGGCAAACACACACTACAATCATCTCTGCCATCATCTCACCAAAAGAGAAACACAACCAAGAGACTCGCCCCCAGTGCTTTCCAGCTACTGCTTTATTTCTTTAAAAGCATTGCTATGTTCAGTTCCAACCTCTCACCCCCCATTCTCCCTGAAGCCCCCAGGACTCCTCTGAACCTTCCTGCCAGGCCTCAGCCGCCCACTCTCAGCCATCATCTCAGCACAAACGGACCTAGGTATCTCTTCTTCCTATTGAGACATGTTCTCCATCTGGACTCTGTGGGTCCTATGGTCTTCCCACCTTCCTGAGTGCTCCTCCCTAGTCTCCTTTGCTGGTTCTCCTCACCTCCTCCACCCTTCTTTAGGTTTCGGTTTAGAGGGCTCCATTCTCAGTGAAGTATTCCTCAAATATATATATATATATATATATATATATATATATATATACATGTATGTATGTATGTGTCACAGTGCTGAGGATTGAACCCAGCAGTTCACACGTTACACAAGTGCTCTGCCACTGAGCTATATCCCCAGTCATCATATTTTAAGTGACTTTCATCACCTACAACCTCTCTCCCATTTCCATTTCTTTCCATATGCTTATCTTCCTCTGACACACTGTACATTACGATGTTGTGTGTGTCCTTGAAGAGAAGACCGTCACTTCCCTAAGGTCAAGGTTGCTTGTTGATCTGCACCACACCCTATTTCCAGCACCGAGAAGAAGACTGTGCAGGCGGTACTAATAAAAGCTGTCACATGCATAGCTTTGGAATGCTTCAGAATATTGAAATCCTGGCCGTTCAGGTCTAATACAAAAATGTGGGAAAATCTCCAGTTGGAGAACAAATCTACTTTCTGTATCCCCTGTTGCCTCTGATTTAACATTTCCTCAGGGCCGTGTCTATTGTAGAACTCATGGTGTTTTCTTCCCCCTTCTCTATTGCATTTTCTACATGCATCCTGAAGGGGTGGGTGGTAAATTCTCTGGCAAGACCTCCATTAGCCTTGTCTCTGGGGACAACCTGGCTTTCCCCACTTTGACAGTGGTCTAGAATAAGCACATCCCTCCTATCTTCCCTGTCTCTAGTCCAGAGTCTCTATCTGGAGGGTATGGTCAGTGGCCCTCAAAGGGATTCAGGGCAGAGGCCTGCTGGGCCTTTGTGTTCAAGCCACCTGCAGAGTATTAGCCTTTGGCGGCAGCAGTTAGAGCAGCCACCACGAAGCCTTGGGATCCTACCCCACCTTTGGCTACAAACTCTCATTTTGCTCTCAGGGATAGAGGGAGGTTCTGGCCTCCTGCCCTGAGGGAGCCTCTGTTTGCCTTGCGTTGTGTAAGTATTTGACTTGGTCACGCACGGCCTGCCCTCTGTGCTGCCTGTTGTGGCAGCCGTCCTGAGACAACAGATCTGGCTGTTTCTTCTTTCGACAGTAAAGATGAGTTTCCAGGCTGGGGTTGTTTTTTGTGTGTTTGTTTGCTTCTTAAAGTAGAGGGCCCCAAAGTACTAGGAATCACCCGTAAATGACTGCAAAAGAGCTGGTTGCCAGCCTCCCTCTTCTTGGGAGGGTATGCAGGGCTCTGAGCCCTCGCACCCCACAGCAGCCCACGAGTACTCCCCCTCTGATACCCCAGGAAGGATCTCCACTCAACAGAGTTCCTGGTGGCCAGGCAGTGAGTGTCCCCGGCCCTGTACTGCAGTGTCCACAGCAGCCCCGCCCTCCCCCATCCTCTGTCCCTTCCACTCTTTCCCCCTCCCCCCAGCTGCAGCTGGCGGCTGCTCCTCGGTGACTCACTCCCACACTGCCCCATTTTGGTGCAGTGGCACATTGCCAGGATGCACACTTTCCAGACTGGAGAGCCGCTTCTCCTGGAGGGAAGGAACAAAAGGATGAGAGCTGAGGAATACTCGCTTGCTTCTCCAGAGAACTGCTGAGAGCAAGCCTGGAGCCCTGAGGTGCCCTCTCGGCCCTGTGCTATGCAGGGTCCCTGCCTGGCCTCTCTTCCCTGCTGTGGACTGTGTCTCTGTTTCCCCCCTCCACTAGTTTGTTCTCACAGAGATCCTTTGTCCTCTCTTCCCCTGTAGGTGGTTTCACGAGGGCCTCTCCCGACACCAGGCAGAGCACTTACTCATGGGCAAGGACGTTGGTTTCTTCCTCATCCGAGCCAGCCAGAGCTCACCAGGTGACTTCTCCATCTCTGTCAGGTACGGGCCACCCCCAGCCTGCCCTCACCTTCTTAGCCTGGAACTCCCAGACTGCTGAAGCCAGGAGGCAACCCCTCAAACAGGCCCCAGCGAGCAGAAGCCAAGGGGACTGCGCATGCTGCCTCCTTATCATCCCTGCTTGCTGTCCACTTCCTGAACATGTGTCCTCAGCACCTCAGTACATTGGGTCGTGTTCAAAATTCGATATCTAGTCACCTGTCCCTCCCCCCCCCCCCGCCACATACCATAGCCCAGGTGTTCCTGGAAGAGCGGGATTATTATCTACTCCATCTCTGTGCACTTCACAGAGCTTCGCACCCTTCAGACAGCTCATGAAGGACTTGTGGAAGGATGGAGAGGATGAGGAAGGCAAGGAGAACTCCCTCTTGCCCATACCCTTCTGGGGTTTAAATCTTAACCTTTTCTATTACCACTCATGTGTGTCTGAAAAAGGGCAGGGGAAAAATAGAACCCAGTCCCTGCTGTGGGCTGCTATGAGCTGCCTCAACATAGGAAAGCAGAGCAGAACAGAGAACAGCAGAGCAGAGCAGAGCAGAGCTCAACTGGACTGGGAGTTGGAGGGAGAGGGGGTAACCTGAGAAGTGACTCCCAGTCAGAGGCCTCAGGTGTGAGTGTGGGGCATGGGGTCAGTGTGTCCACCATCGATCGATTGATCGATCACAAGTCAGACTTGGCGAGCACCCGTGAACATGCAGGAAGTGCAGCAGCTGACAGTAGAGGCAGAAAGGGAGGAAGAGAAGAACCTGTGTTGTGAAATGCTCCTGCCTGCTGCCTGGGATCCCACAGGAACAGGATCCTGCGGTCCTGTCGCGGGTCCCTGTCCTTTAACAGATTTTGAAGGCACACAGCTTTACTGCTTCCAGTTTAAAAATCTAATCTCAGGTAATAAATGGTAGCAACTTCGCTATGGAGAAAGAATACATTTTTATTTCATTCCATTCTGTTTTTGAGTGGTACTGAGTTCAACTCAGAGGGCTGCATTTGCTAGGCAGGTATTCTACTCTTGAGCTATATCGCTTGCTCTTCTGTGCTTTTAGTTCTTTCTCAGATAAAGTCTCCTGTTTCTTCTCAGGGCCAGCATCAGATTATAATCCTCTTTTCTATGCTCCCACATACCTGTGATTACAGGCCTGTACCATCACACCAGCAAGGATAGATATATTTTAACATAGGAACAAAGGACATATAAATAAGGACTTACAACCATTTGTATGTACATGCACCTCGAGAATGCTTGAAAATAGCCTGCCCTTTTAGCATTGCTCTTATAGTCTTGCTTAACTTCACTTCTTATTTCTCCTTAACTAAAAGTCTTTGTGGCTGGGTGCCAGTGACTCTTTTTTTTTTTTTTGTCAGTCATGAGGCTTGGATTCAGGGCCTGGGTGCTGTCCCTCAGCTCTTCAGCAAAAGGCTAGTGCTCTACCACTTTGAGCCACAGCTCTACTTTCAGTTTTCTGGTGGTTAGTTGGAGATAAGAGCCTCACAGACATTCCTACCCAGGGCTGGCTTTGAATTGTGATCCTCAGATCTCAGCTTCCTGAATAGTTAGAATTACACGTGGGCCACTAGTGCCCAGCCCTCTGATTTCCAACTAATGACCAAAAAAGCTGGAAGTGGAACTATGCTCAAGTGGTAGAGCACTAGCCTTGAGCACCAAAGCTCAGGGACAGCACCCAGGCTCTGCATTCAAGCCTAGGATGGATGGATGGACACACACACACACACACACACACACACACACACACACACACACCTCTGTTTGTGTAGTTTAGGCAATGGTCAGCTTTAGCTCAGATCAATATTAATCACAAATTCTAAATTTCATAGATCCTAATTAATGAACCTTTTTTTTCTTTTTTTTTTTTTTGCCGGTCGTGGGGCCTGAACTCTTGGCCTGGGCACTGTCCTTCAGCTCTTCAGCTCAAGGCTAGCGCTCTCCACTTGAGCCACAACACCACTTCCAGCTTTTTCTGCTTATGTGGTGCTGAGGAATCGAACCCAGGGCCTCATGCATGCAAGGCAAGCACTCTACCACTGAGCCACTTTCCCAGCCCCTGAACCTTTTTTCTATTTTAAAAAACTTTAAGTCTGGGGCTGGGAAGGTGGCTCAGTGGTAGAGTGCTTGCCTAGCATGCCTGAGGCCCTGGGTTCGATTCCTCAGCACCACATAAGCAAAAAGAAAAAAGCTGGAAGTGGCGCTGTGGCTCAGGCCCAGAGTTCAGGCCCAATGACCAGACCAAAAAAACAAACAAAAAAAAAACTGTAAGTCTATTTTTTAAAGACCCTATTAGAAACTAGTAGTTTATAAACCAAATAGTTCATGAGATTGAAGGGAAGCTCTCGGCTCCTTTGATTTTAATGACCTTGACCCTGACTTTGTAGCTAGGAATTACAGCTTCTATTTTCTTGACTCAAACAAATTCTGTTAAAGGCCAACCTTGTCTTCACCCCAAGTCAGTTCAAGTACTGAGGCAAACAGCTCTTAGGGTGATTATTACTGTAGTCTCTATATCTTCTGCAGAACTATAGCACCATCTGTTCCAAAGAAAAATCATTTGTTTGCTGGGCACAGGCTCATATCTATAACCCTAGCTACTCTGGAGGCTGAGATCTGAGGATCACAGTTTGAAGGCAGTCTGGGCAGGAAAGTCCATGAGACTCTTATCTCCAGTAAACTACGCCAAAAAAAGGCAAAAGCTCTAGCCTTGAGTAAAATGAAGCTCAGAGGCAGAGCCAAGGCCCATAGTTCAAGCCCCAGGACTGGCCAAAATACGAATTTTTTTATTTTAACATCTGCTTTCTGCCATGGGTACAAATAATTAAGAATGTAGTGTGGTCCCATCACTTAGCACTTACTGAGGATAGAAAACTCTAGACTGGATCAGAGCCCTGAGCCCCTGAGCCATATCTCTTCTATTCTCCTCTCAGAACTATGTCCACAGACCTGCACTGGCAACCCCCATGTTTCTCCTCCCCTGTGGCTCTTGAGAGGAGGTTTTTGAATAATTATAGCATGAAGGAATAGTTCCTCCTGCTGTAGTAATGGTTATACATCAAGCCATGGATCATGGAGAAATCTGTGTCAGTGACCAAAACTCAGGCAAGACACAAGTTACCCAAACATTTGGGCATGAGGTAACTGGATAGCCTTTAGTTGCACTAAGCTACGAACAGGGCCAGCCCAGCAGATGAGAATGAAGGCCAGAACTTTTCCTCCAAGCACAGACCTCTAAACCCACCTCTAAGGAGCCTACACTAGCCTTCAGAGACATCTCTGATCTCTAGAACCTTCTTGACTCTTGCCCTCTCTGCTAGATCAGGCTATCAGTAGCATTAGTGCCAGTATATCTTTAGACAGAATGTGTGACTGTTTGGAAAATAAACTCCACATCCAGCACAAAGTGACATGGTAGTGGAATAAGACTGGAGCTGACAGGCAAAGTCCAGTTGCCTCTGTCTAGATGAGTCAAACCCAGTGTTGATCTAAAAGAAAGTAATACCTTTCCATGATCAGAAGCAGACCTGGGCTTCTTGCCTCGACTCTGCCCCTAATTCACAGTGACCGTCACCAAGCCCCTGCACCTCTCTGAGCTTTCAACATGCTCACCTGAAATAGGAAAACAATCATGAATATCTTTCTGATTAAATGCTACAGTTCTATATCCCTGAAAGCTCACGATGCTTCTGTAACCTTAGTTATGTAAAACTTGAATGAAGATCAAGAAATTATCAAGATGGACTGGAAAATGTATGACAAATTCTCTTAAGACCATTGGTAACAGACTTAAAGGAAATGGTTCAAAGTGTTTCAGATGTCAGAAAGAGAACTGGGACTTGAAGCACCCTTTGCTGCAGAATCTTTTTTTTTTCTTTCTTTTTTTTGGTTGTGTGGCTTGAACTCTGGGCCTGGGCACTGTCCCTGAGCTCTGCAGCTCTACCACTTGAGCCTCAGCGCCACTTCCAGTTTTCTGAGTGGTTTATTGGAGATAAGAGTCTCACAGACTTTCCTGCCCAGGCTGGCTTTGAACTTCGATCCTCAGATCTCAGCCTCCTGAGTAGCTAGAATTATAGGTGTGAGCTACCGGCACCGGCTTGCTGCAGAATCTTTAGCATCATGTAGGACTCTGGCAATGCCTTGTTCCAAACAAACATTATGAAAAGGTCTTTGGTCATAGTCTTCAAGACTCTTTGAACACTTTTTTTTTCTTGTAAATGGTTCCACTGTCCAAGGCAGATTCCAGCTCATCTGATGGGAAGTTGCCTCTCATGCTGCTGGTGTTGCATGTTCCTGCCTGCCTGCCCATTGATAGGCAAGTCATCCATTGCTACACTTCCTGCCCCATCAGACTGCCACCTTCCCTGCATGCAAACAGCCCTGTAGGCAGGGACACAGCCACCCCATAACATACAGCTTGGATTTGCCTTGCTCTCCAGGCACGAGGATGACGTTCAGCACTTCAAAGTCATGCGAGACAACAAGGGCAGTTACTTCCTGTGGACTGAGAAGTTTCCATCCCTAAATAAGCTGGTGGACTACTACAGGACAACATCCATCTCCAAGCAGAAGCAGATCTTCCTGCGGGATAGAACCCAAGAAGATCAGGTACAAGTCAGGTCCCAGTCGAACCCGATCTAGAGATTGGAGGCAGTCCAGGTTCCCACATAAACCACCAGCAAGGTGTGTCTGCTTGGCAGACCTTCTGAAAGACAGGCTAACTGCAGCCAGATCTCAGTTTCAGTCTGAGCTCAACACTTCCTAGCTTGGTGGCTCTGGAAAGTTCTCAGATCCTCAGTTTCCTCATCCACAAGATGGGTGATATCCACTTCATGGAAGGCAGTATGAAGATAACGGAATGGAGTATACCCCCATTTCCTGCATCAATCCTAATTATACTGCAAATGCTCCATAAATATTAGTTCTTACTGGGAGTGCTGTTATTCTGCTATTCGTGGGCATTACAATATCAGTTTTCAGCCATGCTCGAGTTGCCCAAGAGTAGAAATGGGGGCTGCAGGCCTAGAGAGCAACCTAGGGCCAGAACTAAAGCACCAGATGGGGCATTGTGACAGCCTGGGGTAGGTTGGGGAGACACTGGAAGAGAAAATCAGACCTGGAATTATTTCTCTTAGAACTGTTTACAATACAGAGGATTGTTCATAGATACATTAAATTAAATACTAATTTAGTCGCTAACTGCCCATATTTCCCTGGTCAAGTTGAGAAATTTTCTGAGTCGGTTTTCTCAGTTTTAGAACAGAGAGAGCCAGCAGTACCTCCCTCACAGGGCTCCCGTGAGGGCTAAACATGGTAGTCACAGCCCTGCCATTGAACATGGCCCATGGCAAGCACTGAGGAAACAGCATCCGCTCCCATAAGTGTATTCACACCCACATGTACAAACACTCACTCAATATCTAAACAATCTTTCAGTGGAGAAGACTTGGTTATATGAGACAGGTATTATAGGGGGCGTAGAGATTGATTGGAATGCTTTGTATCCATGTGTGGAAATGTCACAATGAAATCCCCCCTTGTCTAGCTAATGTATGCTAATTAGACTAATCATCATCATTTTTAAAATGAGAGGCAGAAGCAGTGACTAGCATAATTGGAATCCTAAGGACAGGTGATTTGTTTAAAACCACATGTGCTTTGGGGAAGTAGAGAAAAGCCACCAGCAGTTTTTCAGGCTGGGAAGTTACAGTCTCAGAAGGGGTGTTCCCACCAGGTCACACGGCGCAGTCCAGAAAAGAAAACAGACCTTACCCAAGACATCATGAGTGATTTCTAACCAGGACACGGACAGAAATATTAACTTACTAGGTAGGATGTGTGCTCAAGAGAGAAGAGAGGCAATATAAAACTGCATTCAACTGGATTAAATGAGTTAATATTTGTAAAATGCCAGCATCGACGAAACCCAGGGCTCTATGTCATTGTTTGCTAATAAAAACAACAATAAAACATTTCTGATTCACAGGTTGTCACAGCATGTAGAAAGGCTTCACTCTTTCCCACCATGCCCAGCTCTGGGCCTGGTTTCCATGACACTGCCAGACTGTTGTTGCCCGTGTCCCTATCACCAAGCTGTGAATGGCAGCTCAAACCAGGCAAAGTTGTCAATAGCAGGGTTTATCTGGGGTGGTAGGATATCCAGCAGCGTGGCAACTTGTGATAAGAAGAGATGGCATTGTGTCCATAAAATAGAATATTTAAGCCTGATTACCCAGAGAAAAACAAAGCCACCAGCTATGGCCTTCTGAATGGGTGCTGTGTGCACAGTGCTTATCTGTTAATGCTGAGGCCGGAACTTGAAACACTGGGCAAGTCTGAGACTCCCAAGTATAAAGGTGGGCACCATGGCTTCTCTTGGATGCTCAGCTATGAGCAGTCCAGAAGCTGCCAGAAGGCAGGGCCTGGATGGTGCCTATTCTCTCTTCCAGGGTCACCGTGGTGGCAGCCTGGACCGGAGGTCCCAGGGCAGCCCATACCCCAGCGGGGCTGCAGGAGAGGAAGTCAGGCCTTCAGTGAACAGGAAGCTGTCGGAGCACCCCTCTTCCCTTTCCTTCCAGTACCACCCACACCAGCCCCCACAGGGCCCCCCGGAGCCACAGCCCCCTCCACAGCGGTATCCGCCACAGCACCATTTTCATCAGGTATTGGGGTACACACATTCGAGATGCAAGGGCCTGCCCTTCCTCCCCCACAACCACACCCCAGGCTAGGCCCAGCCTCATTGGCACTCACAGAGTTCACCAGGCCTCCAAATGGTAGAAGAAATTTCTATGTACTTAAATGGCTTCCTGCCTGAACACACACACACACACACACACACACACACACACACACACACACACACACACACACACACACACCCCTCTGAGGACTCAATGAATCATCTCTTCATTTTCCTATCAGCAGAATTTCAAGTCTATTCATGCCCCTTAACCCATCTGGCTGTGGAATTGGACAAGAAAAAAAAAAAGGATTAACTCCTCCAATGGAGCTTTGCGTATTTATTTATCCCCTACCTATTCCAGATGGGATTTCGGGCAGCTTACAGAGATGGACAATACGACCGGATAACATCAGTCCTAACTTGCTTAGCAGGGCACAGAGCCCGCTGTGAGCTGTTCATATCTACTTCCCCAGCCTGCTTCCCCCCTTACCCTCACCCCCCCCCACTAGCAGCCATGTGCCAGCCACACTGCACCACTCTCCCTACCTGGGCCCACGGTACTTTCTCTCATCTGTGGACTGTTAAAAGTTGTTCCTCTGCCTGAACAGCCCTTCCTTGGCCAATGCTGGTATTCAGGAATTGCATCTTCTATGAAGCCTTCCCTGATTTACCCAGGCTGACCTAAACCCTCTTCTTTCTGCTTGCTTAGCCCCTTAATATGCATGATACCCCTCTAAAGGAAACTCCTTGGAGGCAGGGCCTTTCTCTTTCTAGCAGTGTATCCCTAGTGCCTGGTACAATACCAGACACAAGGCAGGTGCCTGGTAAATATATCTGTTTTATTTTAATAGAACACAGACAGGCAGACAGGCAGACAGACAAACAGATAGACACACACACACACACACACACACACGATGTAGTGGTATGTGCTTGTAATGCCAGTATTGGAGAGGCTGAGGCAGGAGCATTTGAACCCAGCCTGGGCTACAGAGCCAGACCCTCTCATAAAACAAAACAATGTATTAGAGGCCTGAGACCTGGGAGCGAGCAACTCCACAAGTAAAATATCTAGGGTCCCTTCATCCTCCTCCCCTTCAGCCCATTACCCGGTGCCATGCCCAACAGATATTCCTGGACACTGGGAGGGATGCCCCACCATGATGGGTGCCTGCTTGCATCTGCTCTTAGGACCGCCGTGGAGGCAGCCTGGACATAAACGACCGGCACTGTGTCATGGGCCTGGGCAGCGAAATGAATGCTGCCCTCATGCATCGGAGACACACAGACCCTGTGCAACTCCAAATGGCAGGGGTGAGTAAGCCAGGCCGGGGGAGGGGGAGTAGGAGAGGACAGTGTGGAGTAGCTCCAGCGAGGCTGTCCGGTCCTACTCTGTTCTCATCCATTTCTTGGCTCTAGTTCTAGCACTGGGAGCCCAGTGGCCTTTCTTTATGACCCACTGTAATCAGGACTAGATGGCACTTAGTCTCAGTGGTAGAGCACTTACCCAGCACATGTGAGGTCCTGAGATCCATCCCTAGCACCCCAAGAACAGAACAGACCTGTCCTGTGTCAGCCTCCAGGGAGGGTTGCACACCCGTTCTGAGGACCCTGTGGCCAGAGCAGCCAGTGGCTCCTCTATGCCTGTGGTCAGCAGTGTCCCTCTCTTCCCCACAGCGCGTGCGCTGGGCCCGGGCGCTGTACGACTTTGAAGCCCTGGAGGACGACGAGCTGGGGTTCCACAGCGGAGAGGTGGTCGAGGTTCTGGACAGCTCCAACCCATCCTGGTGGACCGGCCGCCTGCACAACAAGCTGGGCCTCTTCCCTGCCAACTACGTGGCCCCCCTGATGCGATGAATCCCTCTGGGGGTGCCAGGGACTTTCTGGCTGAGGACACCCACAAGAGAAGCGGCCAGGGAAAAAAAGCTGGACCTAATGAGTATTTTTACGTGCAAGTGTACATATATACATGAATATGAATGCGTGAATACATTTTTTTTTGGGGTCTGGTCGTGGGGCCTGAACTCTGGGCCTGGGCGCTATCCCTCAGCTCTTCAGCTTAAGGCTAGCGCTCTACCACTTGAGCCACAGCACCACTTCCAGCTTTTTTTTTGTTTATATGGTGCTGAGGAATTGAACCCAGGGCCTCATGCATGAAGGCAAGCGCTCTACCACTGAGCCACCTTCCCAGCCCCATGAATACATTTTATCACAGTAAATTATTGACACTTTGAGTTGGCCAATTAGCTGATGTGAGAGAGAATTCAGGTTGAAAGGATATTTCTACTTCTTTCTTGGGAGAGAAGAGGCAGTGGGGGAGTAGGAAGGGGATAGGGAGATGGAAGGGGATTTCTTTCTGCCCTTGATCCTGCCCACTGCCTTCCTGGTTGGGAAGTCTTCCCAGAGAGCAGCCACACAGAGGCCACACCCGGCATTGGACGCAGAACACTGGGTAGGGTAGACGTGGCCAGGCACGTTGCAGCTCACCTGCTGGGTTTTCCTCCAACTCCCCAAGGGTGGCACTACCCTCCTGGGAACACAAGGGCAGCAGGTTCAGAGCCATAGGCAGCAGGCAGGTGAGCAGGGAGCAGGCAGGGATGGGGTCAGGAGTGGCAGTTTGGAGAGCCCGGCCCCAAGGCTGGCCTCTAGTCTTTCATCTCAGTCCTCTTCCCTGTGACTGACAAAAGAGTCTCTACCATGAGAAAGAGACAACGCAGGCACCAAGTGCTGGAGAGCAGAGGATCTGCCCTAGCCACGCGTCTTCCCCCCTGCCCGCCCCTCCCAGGCCCCACGGCTCCCTGGGTGTAACTAACCTCTGATTCCTTGATTCTGCAAACAGAATCCCTGCTTCAGGAAAGTGCTTTAAGAAGCTCTGGCTGAGTGTGGAATTTGAAAGTCATGGCTTTGTGACTACAGGGTGGCCCTATAGTGCTTGGCTGGGTTTGCTCTTCACTTTCTGAATTTGACACACCAAAAAATGCTCTGCCCAGTAGTCCAGGGAGAAGCAAGAAATTGACTGGGGATGGACATATGGATGGATGGATGGATGGAAGATGGCCCAGGACAGGAGCTGGCTTTAAAATGAATATCAGTTCAATCTGACTGTTGGGCCCCACTCCTCCCCCCCCCAGAAATTTCATGAGGGAGAACAACGCTACTCTTACTGTCCCTTCTTGTCACCTCAAACTAGAACTGTGTGTCCTGGTGCCCAGCCCATAGCTTGGCTTGGCTGGAGGACACCAGGACACAAGATGGAGAGGAAGCTCAGTGCTTTTGTGGCATCCGGGAACAAACATGTCTGTATGTAGAACCCTTGTAAGGGTGTGTGTGTGTACGCATACTGTGTGCACACACGTACAGATGTGTGGTCACATGTATGCTTATACGCATGTGTGTGTGTAGTGGCTGTGATGGGAAATGAAGAGCTGGGGTGAAAGCACCGGTGAGAGCACATGGTGGGGGCCCCTTGTTCCCCCTCCTCAGCCTTCTGGCTTTGGGGAAGCGTGGGGAGCAGCCCTCACCGGAGAGGATGAAGGAGGAGAGTCTGACTCAGAAGCACTCTGTGTCCCTTAGGACTCCGATTCTGCAATTCTCTGATCCCTTTCCATCCCAATTCTCTAGGTTCCCTTGAGGGAAAAGAGGGAAGGAGGGGACTGCACAGTAGGCACAGTAGGCACAGGGAGGGAAGGGGAAATAGCCCTCGAGTGTGAGGGGAAGCAGAGCGTGAGTGAGGAGAAGCCGCAGCCTCGGAAATGAAAGCAGGGAGAGGGAAAGGATGGACGGGTGCGTGCGAGGCCATGGGAGGAGAGGGAGCAGGGCTTGGACAGGACAGAGCTGACCACTGCGGTGGCCAGGGATGGCCTGCACGGGAGGGAGGGGCGCACAGGTGGGGGGAAGGAAAGTGAGAGCAAGGCGAAGGGCAAGGAAGAAAAGAAACGGGAGAAAGGGAGTCAAGATGCAGATGACCCGGTCAGCTATCCTGGTGCTAGGTAATGTTTTCACATCCCAGTAAATAAAAGCCAAAAGTGATGTTGAAGTTTATAGTATTTGCAAGCCATATGCTTTAAACAGCCCACCACCTCCAGCCCCTCGTCTGGTTCCGTGGGAGGATTCCACCAGCCCTGGTTAAGAGAGACACATGACTCAGTTCTAGTCTACATCCTGCTCCTTAAAACACTTGGCACGAAGGCACTAATAAAGCAAGGAGCGCCGTCTTGCCCTCCTCTGTCTGGTGCTGGAGGGGGCTCAGCCCTCAGGCGGCTGGTAGCCACCAGCATGTGACAGGGTCCTCGCCCTGGAGAGCTGACCGTGTGGGGTAGAGGTAGGCGCAGAGTTCCCAGACCCCTGGACCTGGAGACTGCCTAAGCCAGGGCCATTGCGGGAAAATGTTGGGGTACTTTCTGTTGGGAGCTAGAATTGATACCTTTCAGAAGGTGCTGACTGGGGCGGTGGCGGGGGGAGGGTATCTGAGGAGTGGCCCCCCCCCGTCCCCATTCTCTACCCACTTGGTTTCCACCTATCAGTGTCTCAGCACCTCTCCCAGCCACACCAGCAATCAGCTCCTTTTCTCTGATTTGGGCTGCCACATTCTGCATGACTTCTGACTTCAGAGCAGGGAGCATCCAAAGCAAAGCCAGTGCCTGTTGGACCAGTTGAATTTTCCTAATGACTACCTGAGGCTCCCGGCATTCACAGTGCCTGGCACCTGCTACTGTCTACCCAGCTGAAGATAGTTTCTAGGTGATCTAAGACCAATGAGTCTCAACATTTCAAGGGCTTAGGACTTGTCAGGGGGCTCATGTTAAAAAAATGAATACAGGTTCTGATCCAATCCTGCTTTATTTATTTTGGCCAGTCATGGGGCTTGAACTCAGGGCCCAAGCGCTGTCCCTGAGCTCTTTTGCTCAAGGCTAGTACTCTACCACTTTAAACCTCAGTTCCACTTTCAGTTTTCTGGTGGTTGTTTGGAGAGAAGAGCCTCACAGGGACTGGGAATGTCATTTAGGGGTAGAGTGCTTGCCTAGAATGTGTGAAGCCCTGGTTCAATTCTTCAGTACCACATACGCAGAAAAAGCAGGAAGTGGTGCTGTGGCAAGTAATAGAGTGCTAGCCTTGAGCAAAAGAAGCTCAGGGACAGTGCCCATGCCCTGAGTTCAAGCCCCAGAACTAGCAAAAAAAAAAAAAAAGCCTCACAGACTTTCCTGCCTGGGCTGGCTTCAAACCATGATTCTCAGGTCTCAGCCTCCTGAGTAGCTAGGATTATAGGCATGAGCCGCCAGTGCCTGGCTTCCAGTCTTGCATTTCTAACTAGCTCCCAGGTACTGTTGCTAGGTCTGTATCTAGAGGAGTGAGGGCTGAGAACTTGGTAGTGAGTTCGTCAGCATTCTTTTTCTGGGGCATATTCAGCCATTTCTCTTCGCTGCTAATGAACAAGTCACTTTGGATTGGGGACAGACATGATTCAGAGCTGTCATTATGACATCATTCATATTTGATGGCCCAGTGACTTGTTCTTTTTAAATCTTCATCTCTATCTGGAATCAAAATCATTTTTGAGAGACAAGCATTCTGATGAAACACAAACAAGAATTTCCTAGGAGAAATTCTTTTAAACATGAGCAGAGGTTACAGAAAAAGTTGTGACAGCTTTCTCAGGAAATCTTTAAACAGAAAATTGACACCCATCACATTGGGCCGTGGGTGAGGCAGGAGCATTAGGTCTTGGAAACCAGCCCACACCAGATAGATTGGCGTGGCCAGAATACTTTGGCAGCCTTGTCTAAAGTCAGCATGTCTACCCTTTTGTATCAAGGCAAACGAGTAAAAAAAATTATTTATTGTCTCAATTCTTTTTAAAAAAATTCCTTCAGTCTTTCCACATCATACTCACTGCCATGCTACCTCCATCCTTCCCTTCCCTTCCCTTCCCTATCCTACCTTACCCTACCCTACCTTTACTTTTTTTCCCCCTCTGCTGGCACTACTGGGTTTGAAGCCTCATGCTTGCTAGGGAGGTGCCCTACCACTCTAGCAACACCCCAAGTCTTTTGTTGCTTTAGTTACTTTTTTTAGCTAGGGTCTCAATTTTGACATGGAGCTAGTCCAAAATCCTACCAACACCTCCCACATAGCTGGGATCACATATCCCACCACACAGTCTTGTTTGTTGAGATGAAGTCTTGCTAACTTTTTGCCTGGGATGGCCTCAAACTTCAATCTTTTGGATTACTTTCTCCTGAGTAATTGGGAATACAGGCATGAGCCACCATACCTGGCCTTTTCCCATATTCTTCTGCCTGCATTCCATCTGTTCCCAGTTCATTCTTCACATAGGCCTCAGAGTGGTCTGCACCATTCTTCTTCCCATTCACAGACCTGAGGATGCACCCCCAAGTCTTAAAGGCCTCAGATCCCTCTGTTCTTCACCTGACAATTTTGTTTAGGTCTGGATTTAAACGTTACTTCCTCAAACAGTTCCTTGCTGACTCCTAATCTAAAATGGAACTTCCTGTTCAGACAGCTCAGGAACTCCATGCTTTTGCTAGTGGTGCATACACAGACAAATTGTGCCAGGCTGTGCATCTTTTAGACTGTAAGCCCCAGGTAGTACGGCTCCATTGTGCTCTGTGAGCCATGGTGTGCCGAGCACCGAGCACTGTGCACGGCCCTCGGGGGTTCAATGGTATGTGTCTGATGAATAAACAAATAAGAGCCACCTCATCTCACCTCTCCATTCCCGTGTGTGTGTGTGTGTGTGTGTGTGTGTGTGTGTGTATGACAGTCATTGGGCTTGAACTCATGGCCTGGGCACTAGCCCTGAGCTTCCTACCACCCCAAAAAGGCTGGCTCTTTACCACTTGAGCCACAGCTCCAGGCTTTTTACAGGTAAGTGTCTCATGCCCAGGCTAGCTTTGAACCTCAACCCTTAGATCTCAGCCTTTTAAATAGCTAAGATTATGGGTGTGAGCCACTGGTATCCGCTGTCCATTCCTTCTGTGGCCCATATGGCTCAGGCTTTG